ATAGGAACAATACAAACATTACAGAGTTATGGATAGATTAGTAGGAAAATATCAATGGTTGCTGTAATCCATGGTGGTATCTTCAAAGTGGTTTCTCAGGAAGACAGATACAAAAGAAGGATCTAACAAGTAGTTATAGCTTAAGGGTTGTCAAAAATCAAGTGAGGGCTGGGAATTTAGCTCAGTGGCAAAAGCGCCTGCCTGGCATGCGCAAGGTCATGAGTTCAGTTCCCGGTACCGGAGAAAAAACAAAAAAAAAAATCAAGTGAGCCGTCTGAGTCGAAAGCCATTTTTTGTAGTGTTTTCTCTCCAGCCTCCCATTGCATTGAGAATTTTTTTTTTCTAGTTCAAGGGACATAGTGTTTCAGCCATTTCAAAAAACAACTTCTAATTTGTTAACATTTTAATTTTTGTATTTTATGTTACTTTCAGTAATTTTTTTTTTTAATTGTACTTTGCTGTGGTAATCCAGGCATAAATTCTTACTTCTTCTGTGATGTATTGTTTTTCCATGTCGATTGGTGAGGCTTCTGTGACTTTTGTGTAGAAAAGTTGAATGGTATTATGACATTTTAGGTGTCTTTTATTTTTGGAGCTAGATGAGCAGGGCTTTGTGCATGGTAGGCAAGTGCTCCGCTGCTTGGCTGCACTCCAGCCAGCCATTAGGGCATTGCAGATATTTTGTGAGCCCTCACCAATATCTAAAACCTGCATAATTTATCAGAATTCCCATGCTGAAGTTGGAGCTGGAGTGAATTTTTCAAGCTAGTGAGAATAATTTTGGAAATACTTGTTCTAAGTCTTCTTACCTGGATGACCAGTTCTTCCAGAGTCTGGGCTGCTTTAAACAGATGTCATTTGCAGGTCACACCCATGGCTGTGGTCAGAGGTGAGTGCTGCCTTGGGGTCCCCGAATCTGTAGGCCTTTGTTTTGTTTCTTGTTGTATAGCAGTTCCTTGTGTTTAAATTTTAACTGGTTTTTACAGCAGTTTTGGTAAAGGTAAGTTATTTACATCATGATATAAATGTATATTATTTTTCAGTTCTTATGTATATTGATTGCTTAAGATACTAAAAAAATTTTGTGCCCTTTTCTTTTCTTTTTTTTTTTTTTTTTTTTGAGTCAAGGTGTTGCTATGTAGTTTGACTGGCATTGAATACACTATGTAGCCCAGTCTGGCCAGGAACTCAAAGCGATCCTCCTGCCTCAGCCTCCCCCAGTGCTGGGATTACAGCATATAGTACCATACCTGGCTGAAATTTGAATATTATTTTAGGTGCCACTTGGTATGGTGATGTCTTTGTCTGAGGATTCTTTGTATAAAATTACCTGATAATACATTGTAAGGGGCAGTATTGGAAATTGAGCCTGGGAATCACTAAACCATATCCGCAGCACATTTTTTGGTCTTTCTATGTTGCCCAGGCTGGGTTTAAATTGAGATCCTTCTGCTTCAGCCTCCCAAGTAACTGGTGTTACAGGCATCCAGTCTCTCACATGGCTTTCGTGATACCTATTTATGGATTCAGAAAGTTAGTCTGAAGGTCTCACTGACCTCCTTTTCTTCTCCCTTGATTAGGAATTACCTGTCAAATGTATGTTGTGGGTTTACTGCTCACCTCACTCCTTCTCCAGGCTGGAGTCTCTGTAGTGGCCTTCAAAGATGGCTTTGTTTCACAGATAACCAAATACCGGGGTTACAAAGCAGGTCTAAATAGTCTAAATAGGTACATGGAAGTACGTTCCTAATTGCCATCTAATCTTTAATCCTAACATTTGAAAATTCTTAACTTTCTGTACATGTCCTGTGAAACTGAGTGATCACATTATTCATATATTTTCTCTTTCAACAGGGGAAAATGCAGCGTTGCCCTTTTGAATGAGACAGAGTCCGTGTTGTCATATCTTGACAAAGAGGTAATTCACAGTCATTCTTGTTTTGTGTTTTTCTGTTACTGAAGCTCGTACCTACTTGCCTTTGTACTAAGGTATTACTGTACTGTTAGAAAGTGTTGCAGTAAAGGTGTGATGACTAGAATGAGTTTTGGTACTTTTGTTTTCCTGGCTAAGTGAGGTAAGAGCAAAACTTTTTCAGTCACCAGTTAAAGGATTTATAAGCTGTAGCACATGAGTTAGATTAATACTCCGGCTTCATGGTGTCATGAAATAAATGCTTTATCATTATACTTGCTCTCCACCCCACTTCAATGTGGTACTGGGGGTTAAACCCAGGCACAGTCCACCATTGAGCTTTAGCTATAGACACCTTTATTATTTTGAGACAGGGTCTTACTCAGTTTCCTGCTGTGGTCTCAAATGACTCACGATTCTCTTATATCAGCTTCCCAACTGGTTGGGATACAGGTATGGGCCACTGTATCTGGTTTTGTTTTCATTTTAAAGAAATAAATGGCTCTTGCCATTTATTTGCATACGCCTGTAATTCTAGCACTTGGGAGGCTGAGGCAGGAGGATTGTAGCGAGTTTGAGGCCAGTTTAGACTACACAGCAAGACCTTATCTCAAAAAAGAAACTAATCCATGTGTGTTCCTCTGTCTTTGCAGGAGGGAAGATAAGGAAAAGGAAACGCCTTCAGGGATGTATTTTATTCAAATTGAAAAACACTTTGTGTGATTTGGTTGTGCTGTACTGTTTATTACACAACCATCCTTGAGAGATCTGACCTCTTTTCTTAGTCATATTATTGAGATTAGCATATTTGACATTGGAAACCTGAAGAACTAATTTGTAATCGTTGTCTTTTACTTGTACCTCTTACGTTTTTGAGATTGGCACATCACCTATAATCTCAGCACTCTAAAAAACTGGCGCAGGAGGATCACAATTTTGAGCCTTGCTTTGGGCACCTTAGCCACTTAGCTAAGGGTAGAGTGTAGGTATAGGTCAGAATGAAGGCGCTTGGCACTTCCCCTACAAAGACCCTTTCTTCACTTTTTGTAACTTCTATGGTAAACCAAACATAGCTAAGAATATATTTGAACCTAACTAATGGTTTTATTTCATTTTTGTATGGTTTATGGCACGGCCCCTTTTAAAATTATAGTATCATATTAATATACTTCACAGGTTAAAAGTGACCTGAAATGCCTCTGCTTTAAAATCTGGTGGTGAGCCAGAAGCACTATCTTGAGTTCCTAACTAATAGTCTTTTGTTTGTTTGTTTGCTTGTTTCCAGTACTGGGAATCGAACTCACTGCCTCACGCTTGCCAGGCAGGCACTGTGCCGCTGAGCTAAATCCCAGCCTCCCTAACTAATAGTCTTAGTTGTTGATATCAAAAAGCAAAACAGCCAAGAAAAACCTGAGTACATAATGGCTGTCCTCTCTGTTAAGGAGAATAGTTTGTATATTTGTGCCTTTTTTTTTTTGTATTGGGAATTGAACTCAGGACTTTGCATTTGCCAGGTAGGCGCTTGTGCTGCTGACCTATATCCCTGGCCCATTCATGCATATTTTTTTCTCCTTAGCATTTTAAACCATGCACAAACATCTAATTCTGTTTTCCTTTTTCACAGTTGTTTAATCTTTTCTCCTGACAGTGAAACATTGTTAAAATACAGTACAAAGTTTTTCATTGGCTGGAATAACTCTTTATTCTTCTCTCCTTATTTCAGTATGTAAACCTAAGAGGAGAGAAATTTTTGTAGTCTGACAGATACCTCTTCTTGCAGCTTGCTTGGCTGGCCTTGGTGACTTGCTGATGGTAGGGATAAGCTCTTCTGGGTATAATGAAGTTTTGCAGTAGATTTCTGGATCCTAATAGGAAGCAGAAGATACGACTTTCTTGGTTCATATTCCAGTGGCTTTGCAGAATTCATCAGAAGCATGATGGCCAGGTCATTTTTACCCTCTAGGCTCAGTACCTCCAGGGCACTTGAGGCTTTTAAGGGATCATCGGAGTGTATGAGATGTATATGGGATGGTTATGTTTATATGTCTATCTCTGAACACATATGTGTGCTTCACGATGGAAAGGATTTCAATCATAATTAGTATTTAACTAAATTTCTACAGTGATAGTGATAGACTCCTTGTGAGTTCAACTCTTACATTGTAAATGTGTTATAAATGTGCCTTTAAATTCTTTGAATAAAATGTGTGAGAGACAATTGAAGCGTAAAAGTGCCTGGTATCCATGAAGACATCCCTGACATTTGGTGTGGATTTTATTGGTTAGGAGACATAGCAGTTGATTTTAGGGGTTTTACCTTTGAGTGGTTTAACTTTGTTAGCTATTCAAAATTCTTAGAGCAGTTAATGATTTTCTTTCAAACTGAAACACATAGTAAAACTTTATAGTCTTTTATTTAAAGCTGTTTCTTTTGGCTTTATTTAACACTATTTTACATGACAGTAATACCATACTCTCCTTAAAAGATTTATGAGGTTACTCACCACTCTGAAGTTTATGTTTTCATTATTGTGACATTGATTTTATTGCTTTATAGGAAATAGAAGAAATTGTTTACTTAGGTATTCTCTGTCATTTTTCCAGGACGCTTTTTTCTACTCATTGGTCTATGACCCCTCCGTGAAAACATTATTAGCTGACAAAGGTGAAATCAGAGTGGGTCCTAGGTACCAAGCAGACATTCCAGACATGCTCCTAGAAGGTATGTTTTCCCTTGGCTTTCAAGTCCCCTGAAAACCTGTATCTTAAAAATCAAAAATGATTTTTGTCCTCATATGGAAGAAGCAGTAACTTTCAGGGTAGACTTCAAAAGTAATGAGTCTTTATACTTTAGAGACATAATAAATAGCCATGGAAAAAATTTATCCAGTTGCTTATTTATGACTTCCTATTCTTAGGGCTGTAATTTACAGTACAGCTTTAAGATTGTTAGTGTTGACCTTATGTTTTGCTGTGTTATGCTAATGCCCTGAGAGTCAGGCCTCTTGAAGTCATGTGTCCCAGGTGGCTGTGGAGTCTCGAGAACACTGACATTTTGGTGGGGATTTTCCTGAGTTGTGTAGTGTGTATACCAGAAGGATGTAAAGGTTTGCATTTTAAAAATAGATCTTCCTACTGAGACCTAGTTGGTTTTTTTTTGTCTTTTTGAGACAGGATCTCCCCATGCAGTTCAGGCTGACCTTGAGCTCACTTTGTAGCCCAGGCTGGCCTTGAACTCACAACGATCCTCCTGCCTCAGCCTCCTGAGTGCTGGGATTACAGGCATGCGCCACCATGCACGGAGAGACCTAGTTTTCTTTTTCCAATTAGAACCACACATTAAAATCTTTAGTTTTTAATTCTAACGCTGCCAGTCACAATGCCACACGCATGTGATCTCGGTTAGTTGCGAGGATGAGGCAGGAGGAGTGAAAGATGGCGGCCAGCCTGGGCGACTTAGTGAGATCTTGTCTCAAAAATAAAATGTAGGAAAGACGTAGCTCAATGCAAAGGCCTTGGGTTCAGTCCCCAGTACTGGCAAAGCCAACAGAACAGCTATTAAAAAACAAAACCCCAGGTAAGGCAGTAGTATATTATGTAGACAGTGAACGGCTGCCCTTTCCTTCCTGCTAAACCAGTGTTTAGTTACTGTGAATGTTCAGAATGTTGTTTTCTTCATACTCGGACTTGCAGGCCATGTAATGCTGTGCTTGTTGGCGGTGAAGCGCGTGTTGTGTTCTGCAACTGCTGCTTTCAGTCTTCTTTGGGTGTCCGGTTACCATCTTTCCTTAAGGAGAGCAACGTTACAGTGCCTGTTAGTGATGGTTCTTCTATCTCCTTGGTGCACCATTAATTTCCTTTTCTATTTTCCTGATGATAGGTGTTTACTTTTTTATGATACTACAAATTATTCTGGCAGATAATGTATACATATTTTGTGAGGTAGAGATATTTTTCAGTGTAATTCCCTGGAAGTGAAATGGTGTGCCCTTTTCTGTGATGCTGGTGGAAGGAACCCAGGGCCCTGTGCATAGCAGGCAGAGTTCCCCCACTGAGCTGCATTCCCCACCAACGGTGGTTTTAAGAGTCACTTCACGATTGCACGTGCACGCTCTCTCTCTTGTGCTCGCTCTTTCTACACATACTGATGTTTCATTGTTCTTGTTTTGTGTTTCAATTTTTAAAGGTTGTGATTATGCTTTCCAAGTTTTTTAGCTCTTTTGGAAATCTCTCCTACTTGGTTATTTATCTTTTTTTATTGGCAAGGACCTTTTGACTAGTAAAAGCATTTGTCGTTTGTCCACAACTACTTCTAAGTATTCCTTCCCACTTTGTTACTTGATTTTCAAAAGAATTTAATACTTTTAAATTTGTTTACTTTCTTGCCACACAAAAGTTTAGGTTTTTTTTAGTTTTTCCTTAAAGGCTTTAATGATTTGTGTTAGACACAAAAGCCTCTACTTTTATGTTATATCTGACTGTTTAAAAATACGCACTCATTTCTTTTTTTGCACTCTTTTATAGATTCTCCTGTCTCTTTATTTTTTTCACTTTTATTAAGTGGAAGCTGAAAAGTTAAATCAGAAGATACTCAGGAGAGATTTCATGGACCATTGGGTATTTTAGTGCCTTGGTGGGTAAAGGAGGCACTTGTGAGTCATGTCAGGTTACACACTGCTGTGTTCTGAGCTCAGGTACCATCAGGAACAGTCAGTGATGATGAAGGGTGGGACGTTCCTGTATGTATTCCATTGTCCTTTCAGTTTTTAAGATAATAGTTCTTTTTTTTTTTTTTTCCCTGTGAATTAGCTTATTATAGGTTTAGAGATTGCCTGACCTCCTAATCTGTGCAAGTCAGCTTGTCCTACAGAAGTAGTTTTGGATGTTTGTATTTTTTAATGTTTGAGATTGGACTGACAGCATTGTACCTAAAAGGTTACTATTACTTCACTTACACACTTGGTTTTTAAAATATTGTTTCTTTTATTTATTTATTTAATTACCAGGAATCGAACTCAGGACCTTGTGCTTGCCAGGCAGGCACTTACGCCACTGAGCTATATCCCCAGCTCCATTATTTCAGTTAAACACTTGGTTTTGCAATAAAATTTTAAAGTACTGTACATAGTGCTACAGTGAGTATCCTCTTCTCTAATGAATCACTGTACACTGGAAAATGCAGATGTAACTGGAAAATATGCCCCTAGGTATAAAGTTGCTAAGTCATAGGCTCATGTGTTTTAAGTTTTACTGAAAAGGTCAAATTGTCTTCTAAATTGTATTTATACATGCACATTTTCCTTATTTTAATTAATTTATTTAATCTAGTAAGCCCCTTGCAGTTCTGGGAGTGTTTGACAAATGTTACCTTAGAGAATTCAGAAAGCCCATCTGTGTACATGTGTGTACAGTCTCAACCCTGATTTCCCCAAGAAGCCTTTGGTTACTTTCTTCTGAGTTGTGATCTCTTCCTTTGAATTCCAAGGCCATGTCATTTACGAAATTGTTTATTCCGTTTTCCTCACTTGACTTTTATAATAGTGGACTGCCTGAGTTACTGGTCTGTATTCTCTGGAGCACTGAGCCGAAGCCTAGGCACGTAGTACGCTTACAGTTTTACAATCTTCACAAAGGACCTGTAGTTTTTGAGATTTATTTTGCAGGTGATACTACTCTTAACAGCTTGTGCCTTATGTTCGCTCTGTCAAAGGTAGCCTTTGCATGTAGATAACGTGACTGTATGTTGATTAATATAATAGATCTTGAACTTGGTTGACAAGTGCACATTTACTTATAAGATACTGTTTTCCCCCGGTAGTCTTCTGTATGTGAGTGATTTATTCAGGCAATAGAATGCTTTCTTTAAATGAAACAGTATACATAACTTTAAAGCAAGAAGAGTCAGGTGGTTCCGGACAAGGGGGAGCAGACCCAGTGAGTCTCCCGTGGCACCCTGGTGAACTGTGGGTTCCGAGGTCACAGTGTGCTGGCTGCTGGTCTGCGCTGCACCTCCACCCCTGCATGCACTTCCCAGGTAAACTGCACAGGTAGTGCTTGGTGGATTTCTGTCTCTTTACAGCCTAGTGTGACAAAGGTCTTCACTCTTCTTGCTTTTCTGCATTTTTCAATCATAAAATTTATTGTACTCCAACATAAATGTCACAGGAGTTACAGTTACAGTGGAAGCAAAAAGTAGTACTCTCTCATATCAACCCTCTTCAACTGCTGTTAACCAGTGTTATTAATTTAATATGTTCTTCTAGACCGTTAGCTCTGAAGTTTATAGTCTATGCAACATTCCGTGCATTGTGTGAAAAATTCTCATTTATCTATCTTTTATATATTTTATGGTAGAGCAAGTTTTCCTCATGATTGTGCTTCAAAAATTCCTGGGGAAGAAACTTACCTGAAATTTTTTTCCCCTAAATGTTGAAGTTTATCATTAGTTTGTCAGTTTCCTCCCTTTGGATTTCATTAGGATTCTAATTGTGTGGGGAGATTGTGCACATATTAAAATACTGAACAGACTGTGTATCTAGTTCAGTATTTCTCCGTGGTCCCATTGTCCTGCGGGATCCTTGGCTTCACCTCACTATTTATTAGCGGGTTGGTAGCTGCAGTGGTGTTTCCTAAGACTTGCCCTTCGCTACAGCTCACTTCTCAGCATTCCCTTTCCTGTTGCTGCTGCTTACCTTCCCAGGGAACTTGGTTATCTGTTTGACTAGCGCCAGGGAGGGAAGGACCCTCCTTTCTCCGGTTGCTGTGGTTGCCAGTAACTTGTAAGTTAATCCAGGGAGAACAGACATTTTAATGATGTGGAACAGTCCTAACCAAATTCAATCCCCAGTACCAAGAAAGAAAAGTCCTAACCAGAGCGTTTTTCTTTTCTTCAAGGCTACTTTTGAATATTGTGGGAGTGAGAGTTCTTTTTAAAAATACAGTTTTAGTCATATAGGTTTTATATATTTCTTGTTAAGTTTATTTTTAAGTTGATAACTTTTTGGCTTTATTTGTGTGTATTCATCTTTTAAGAAAGAAAAATGTCACGTCTGTAGATTATAGAGAAATGTGGCTTTTTTTTTTTTGCCACCAGGAAACTCAGGACCTTGTACTTGCCAGGCAGGTGCTGTGCTGCTGAGCTATATCCCTGGCCCACCATGACACATATTGTTAAAATAAAAAAGGAAGAAGGCATTTTGGATTCTTACTGTCACCTGATGATATCCAGAATGGTTCTTGTCTTATAATCAGGCAGTCAACTAGACACAAGGGTAAAGAGTCCCCTTCGGGGTGGGTGTGCAGCTCAGTGGCAGAGTGCTTGCCTGCCATGTACAAGGGCCTAGCTAGGTTCAGCCCCTGGCATTGAAGAACAGAAAACAAACCAAGAAAATCCCCAACCCCCTTTTTTTTCCTACTTAATTTATTTGGGGAGAGAGGACGAGTAGGGACATGTCTTAGTCACTTTCCTTCTTAGCTGGACACAAAAGTAGGCACCAACAAATTACAGGAGGAAGAGTTTATTTTGGCTCACAGTTTGTGGAGGGAGATTTCAGTTCCTAGTAGGCTGGCTCCAGGGGAGGATGGCGTGGCGGGGAGGCATGGCTGAGGAGAGTTGCTCAGGGCTTGCTGGGCAGGAAGCTGAGAGTGAAGGGAAGAGCAAGGCCAAGGCAGGGATCTCAGTCCTTCTAGGCCTCTTCTGACCAGACCCCGCCCCCTTTTGTG